AAAAAGATGGTTTGGTGCGCCATTTGTAAAGCACCCTCTTGTACAAGCGGACATATGTGTTACCCTTATAAACTTCTTGTTGTTGTATTTAACCCTTTTGTCCATAAAAACAAAAGACCATGCTTTTTAGGAAGGCTATAGCTTATTAACTTCATCTCAATTTACCCCCTCATGGCCTTAGCTTATTCAGAATGACTTTCAATGTTTCTAAATGAGTTTTTGCTTATTTGTTTTAATATGTGTATATTTTCTTTCTAGACGGCTATTAACATAGTTGGTTAGTTAATAATCTTTTTTTTTTCTTTTTCATTTGGGGTCATGTGAACTTCACAGACATGAAATCCTCCAATACTACCGCCATTTTCTGCCATATTAGAAGGTATTTATAAACCTTTACTTTTTCAGTTATCTAACGCCTTTTGGAAGGGATGTACTAATTTTAGTATCAGTACAGAGTGTTGTGAATTACTATAGTAGAAAAGAAAAAATTCCCAGGAATCAGGATCATGATAGAAATACTTCTTCTGAAGAAATTTATAGGACCCTAAGCATCAGAACTGGATGTGTATGAAAAATATTTCATTTGTAAGGTTCTAAATGCAGTGATACATACTCATAATTCTTATACATAACTTGGCAATTCTGGTTTTAGTACTTGTTTCCTTGTTTGAGTTTTGGCATTTTTCTCTTTGCTTTAGTTTTTTCATGAGAGTTTTTGTTTTGAGTAGCTCGATAATATTTCTTGGCTTGTAAATGTTCTAGATGGCACTGATCCAGATGCGGTGGCAAAGTGATTGCATAAGTTTGTGAACTATGGGAAGAGAAACAAAGAGTCGGTGGCTGAGTTGCTAGTTGCGTTGTTAGTCAAGGTACTATGAATCCATTAAATCTAGCCTCATTTTCAAGAGACTCCTAATCCCCGGAAAACATACAGTTTTCTGGCTCATTATGGTCTCATTTCATTGCAGTTATTGTCGGTTGAGAAGCTAAGGGATAAAGGACTATGTGCAAGTACGTTTGAAACATCTTGGCTATATCTAAAACATGGGATTGCAAAGTTTGTTGCATCAGTGTAGTTATTAGGGGTGTGCAAAAACCGATTTAACCAATAAACCGAGCAGAAAAAAATACTATTGGTTTATTGATAATGGGTTATTGGGCTATCGGTTCGGTTTCGCAATTTTTTTTATTGGGTTATCGCTTCGGTTTCCAGTTTTATGATTTTTGTTAACGGTTAAACCGATAACCCAATAAGACTATACTAAATTTACTATTTTATCCCTTGACCAGTAAACCCTAATTATATAACATTTTACAAACCCTATTACTTTAATCTCAGTTTATCTTGTTTCATTCTGTAATTGCAAGCACCCTTCTAACTTGAATGTGCCAATTGCCTAGACTTGCTGAAAAACGATTGTTACTTTCCCAATTTTTCCTTTGAATGTGTCTAGACTCTAGTGTCTAAACTTGCAAGAAAAATGATTGTTACTTCTATGATTATTACTTTCATGCCAAATGCTGGAAAAATCATATGGTTTATATGAAAATTTTCTTATCGTGTATATATCAATATATATGAGTATTTTCTTATTGGTTAAACCAAAAATCGATAAACCAAACCAATAACACATAAAACCGAACGGAACCAACCGATGCGCACCCCGAGTAGTTATCTTTCATTTATTGATGTATGTTCTGATGAGTAATCTTTGAAGTGTTGTATTAATGGATTATCGTGATCTTTATGGGTTGAGGATTTCATTGATCGGTCTCAAAATGCTGCAAGGCTTGTCGGGAAAGCAGAAGTGAAACATATATAAAAGTGTATCCAGCGCACTAGCGAATACATTTTTGATTTTATGGATGGCCTTGTTGAAATACCCACATTAAAAATTCAGTTGTTTGGATGTGCTACCCCCTTTCAAGACAGTTCTCAGACAAGGATCATTATAGAAGATGGAAATACAACCACTCTTCCTTGTAGAGATATCAAGAATTCGAAACAAAGTAAAGAAAGCCAGAAAGGAATTCAGTCAGCTATACCTTCTGAACCTATCACAACAAAAAGAAAATGGTCTATCGAAGGTTGGGAAGGATTAACTTGAAAGAGCTATGGACAGTCCAAAGGAAAATAGCTGTCACGACCCAAGCCTAGGGCCTAGACGTGACCGGCGAATGGGGAACCCGAAGGAACCCCAAACAAGCCTCATAGCGTATCATTACACATCCTTGGTCGCGGAAGAAAATAAAATGACCATAAGCGATAAGCATAATTAAGGGGGGAATCGGGACTAAGGGAGCAAGAGAAACAAAAATAAGAACGATACAAAAATACCATAGATGAGTCAAGCTCAAGCATAATACACAACTTGTCCAACACCACCTCTAAACATGAGTACTTAGCGGGGGCCAAGACAAACTACCGGGCTCACCCTCATAACGAAAACATAACTAAAAAGAAAAAGTCTTATACATAGCAAAAGATCATAAGCAACGTCCCCGGAATGGAGGACTCACCAATAACCTTGATAGGAAATCGTAATAGCCACGCGGAGGAGGATGGTCAAGCGGTGCTCCGGTCCCTACATGGTGACATCATGTAGGCAAAGAGTATGCGTTAGTACGTTTGAATGTACTAAGGGGCCGTTTGGTTACTGGTTAGAGTTATGCAGGTATTAGTTATACAGGGTTTAGTTATGCAGGTATTAGTTATGCAGGGTTTA